CCCCGGCGGGGCCCCGCCCCGGCACCGCCCACCGCCACGCCCCCAAACGTCTCATGCATATGCATACGCCGGTGAAAAACCGGGAGCCTGTGCAGAGCGCGTCTGATCGCATGCAAATAGGAGCAGCCCAGGCACTCAATTATTCATGAGTCTTGCATATGAGGGTCCCGCCCCAGGCTCAGAAGTAGGCGAAACTGACGCAATTCAACCAACAGCGAGCGCCCTGGCAAGACGGCCACCGAGACGGCTGCCTAGAGAGGAGACTGCCTTGGGACGGCTCGAGCCGCAGCACCATAGAGTCACGCCCAGAAAGAAGGTAGCCGGTGGCGGACTGCAACAGCTCTCGGTGCAAACGCCCGATAACCCGCCCTACGCAGCCACCCCAGGTGTATAAACTCAGGTCTAGAGCCACCGTTAGACTGCAAGTTCGTTCCTCATCAGTCCGCTTCTCTCTTGCTGTGCCCCTTCCCAGATGTGTGTTCTTCCCAAATACTAAATACGCTTAACTCCCGTAACTCATCTCCCCAAACTCAGGTTCAGGTTTCCACTGCCCCGGCAGCGGGAGAGCTAGTCAATTCTGATTCCATTATCTCAAGCATTGGAAGACCCTTGCCTCATCGGTGATTAAGGATGGAGCCTGCCAAGAATGCCTGCCTTCGGTTGGCTAATGGAGTGAACTGCCAGGGAGAGACTTCCTAATCAGATCAGCTCTCATTTCTTCACTCTCGGGTGGCCCATTCCCGCAGAATAGGGTGAAAACCAATGCTGGTCCAGCCGGGAACAGAACAGGCTGTACCTGGACACCTCCCTCCCAGCCTGCCCGTCAGAGTGGTGTGGTAAACAGCACCAAGAAAAGTACAGACATGGCTTCCAAAGTCACTTCCCTTTTATTAAATGTTGATTTTTTTTTTCCACAGACCAGAAATACAAAATAAATGTAGAAATAGGTCCCAGTTAGGAGCTACAGGCCCAACCTCACGACTCCACTGCAGTTACGTGAAGAGGACAAGCAGCAGCTGTATCCCAAGGACAGGATTTGGATACTGCGCTGCCCTGCCTTCCACCCAGTCTCTCCCAAATTATAAAGAGCTCTCCCGGGGAGTGCATAGGACCAGGAGAGCTTGTTCAGATGGCACAGAACTCAAGGACTACATTTCATAAGGAGAAACAGGTACCAAAACATGAGTGGGGAGCCTGGGGGTGGAACGGGGTAAGTCGAAGGAGAGAATTTTCCTCCTCTACTCATCAGATCCCGATGCCGAGTCTTCTGAGCTGGGGGGCGTACTGGCTAATTCCTCTTCTTCAGAGTCCTGAAAACCAAAGGTCTCTTACGGAGAAAGCCATGGTCGCGTCCCCCACCACTTTTTAGTGGTGAAGGACCCTCAGTTCATACACCTTCTCCAAACTCCAGCACTCAGAATGTCCAACTTGCCCTTCCCCCATCTCATCACCCTCACAGACACACCACAACCCTTACCTAGAAACATCCCCCACCCCCAGCAAAAAACCTTGGCACACCTCACTCCGCCTTCTCTTCTTTTTACTCTTGTTCTCGCCCGAAGAGCTCTCGTCACTGGACACAAACTCTTTGCTCTTGAAGCTCTCGCTTAGCTGCCTCGACGAAGACTTGGAAGATGAGCCCCTGGAGGGTGTTGACTTCTTCTCCATCTTCACCTTCACTTTCTTCTTCTTCTTTGACTTGTCCCTATATTAGCAAGAGGAAAAGGTGGCTCAGCCCAGATTCTCCGTCCTCAAGGCCAAACCTCTCCTGGCCTGACCAGGGCCCTCCCCCTCCCAGCTATAACATCATTCCACCTACACATCAACCACCAGCCACACCAGCCCCAGCACCCCAAGGCCAGTACCCTAAGTCAATAACCAGAAGGATAGAGGCCACAGCCCAAAGTAGCCTCATGAAAAATTTTTTTCACATGGCTTGCTTTATTGTTGAAAACACATGTGAATTATGCTGCATAGTCATTTTTTTAATCTCCCCTCCCCCACTTCCTTCAAGTAAAACCAACCCTCAGGGAAATGACTTCAGGAATTCCCGAGCAGGTCAGCTATACTTGCTCAACTGCCTATCCAGGTTTGATTCACATCACACTACTGTGGTGAGAAGCCTGTTATCCGAATACCCCAATTCTCAACTTGGACCTACAAAATGAGCTGCTCCCCAAATGTAGTTACTGGGTCATTTTGTTCCCAACACTTACCTCTTAGAAGACTCACCCCGGCCCCCTTCATATTCTTTCATGGCTTTTTCATATTCCCTCCTGGCATCTTCTGCCTTGCGATCCCACTCCTGTTTCACACACACAGAAAGCATATGAGAAGCAGAAAACCTATTCTGGGGTGGACAAAATTTACACAGAAAAGTCCCACCACTGGCCCCAGCCCCCTCCAGCACTTACAGGATTAGCCGCTCCTCGAGTCTGCTGCCACTCACCTCTTTCTTCTCTTTGGACATTCCCTTCCAGATCTCGCCTGCCTTCTTGGAAAGATCGGTGATACTGATGCCGGGATGGTCTGATTTGATCTTCTCCCGGCTGGCGTTGAGCCACAGCATGTAAGCAGACATGGGCCTCTTGGGGGCGTTGGGATCTTTGCCCTTCTTCATCTATACAAGGACCCAAAAGTCTTCAGTCATCTATTTGCCACTTATGCCCCATATTCTCCCAAAGACATTACCAAGCTCACCTGCCTGTGGGAAAATGGAGAAGGGACTCAACTGTGCCAAGCCTCACTTAGACCTCCCCGAGGGCGAGTCCCCATCTCCTGCACTTTAACCCCAGTGCTGAGCACTCAAGGCCCCCTTCCTTGGGCTCCTGGGACAGCAGCCTGTCTCCTAATTCAGATCTCTCAGGACCAAGAGAAAATAATTTCCAAGAGATTCTCCTCAAGGTCATGATCACTGGCTACACCAAGCAGTCCCAGGAGGGCCCGTCAGCAGGTCTAACTAGTGGTGAACAGTGAAGGCAGGGGCTGGGTTCCCCACCGCCCTCCCACCCTCCTATCTTGGGGAGAGCATGCACCTCCATAGGCTTCTTGCGGCTCTTGCGATCCTTGGCCATCTTGGCCTTTTTCAGCTGCTTCCGTTTCTTCTCCTCGCGGTCACTGTCACCCTCATTACTGGAGGAGCTGGCAGAAGCGTTGCTGTCGAACCTGTCAGAGAGCAGGGTTTACACTCTGGGCGAGAACCCAGCACCCACGGCCACAGGACAGGAAGAAAACATCCAAAGGCGGCAGCTGCCCTGACAGGGAGCGGGAGAGACATGGGACTGCCTCCGCCACCAGCCCCCACCCTGCTTCCTCCCACTCCCCCACCCCCCACCCCGACCAGCCACAGCAATGGTCACTTGTCCAATAATCAATGAAAACCCAACGAACCAACGGGCTTCCGCTCTCCTGGTCACAGCCTAGCGCAGTCCCACTCTATCCCCGTGAGTCCAGGGACAGAAAGGCTGTGTCTCATTCTCCCAGCCGGAGTGGGCCCCAAGTCTGTTCCTTCAAGTTTACCATCTTAATCTACCCCAGTCTTCTGAGGTCAGATGACTAGCTAGGAGCGGGCACAGCAGCTCAGTGCAGCCTAGTGCAGAGCCACGTGCGGGGCTGCCCACCTCCCGGCCGGTGCTCGGCAGGTCGCAGGTGTTGTCGCCTGCTTCGTTTCCTCGTCTCCGGGAGCAGATGGCAAGAGGAACTAGTGGGCTCCTGCACGTTTTGTCTTTGTTTTTTTGTGCTGCCAACTTTCATTCCCAATTCTCCTGGGTTGAGAGTCCCACTTTTCTTTCGGCCACCACCCTGCCTCCATTCAGGAGGGGCTCACCCTACACACAGGCTCTAAGGACTCAGCTCTGGCCCATCAGAGCACATCCTGGAAACTCAGACTCAGGAAGGGCAAGTAACACCGTGCACTGCTGCTCTGAGGAGGCACTTCTGGGTGTTAATCCACAGGGGTCAGCCTGCCCACCGCTCCTGAGGGTCATCCGGCGCCACACCGGGCAACCCTATCTAAAAATAAGGAAATCAGAAGAAATAAAACAGATTCCCCAAAACGTCTGAGCACCTCGACCCAGGTCCTGAAGCCCTGAACGCTCCCGGTACATGACCTGATAAAATTCCCTTTTATGCTAAGTCAACGTGAGCCCCTTTCCTAAAGCGGCAACCAAGGGCCTTGAGCAGTAGGCACAGACAACGGCGGCTGTCTTACAGGCCGCGGTCACCCACAGAGCCAGGACCCCGGTTAGTGAGGCAAGCGTGGCTGACTCCCATCCTCGCCCCCCCACTGGTCTGGCTTCACAACAGGCCTCACGCTTCCAACACCCTTGGCAATTTTCGCAGCAATTTCATTGTCATGCATCACCTCGACAGAGGCCACTTTTCCACCCTGGGTCAGTACTAACGCTGGCACGTGACAAACATCCAGAAATCTGGCCCCTTATGCTGAAAGCCACCACCTCACCCCCATAAAGCAGAACCAAGACTCACTCTTCTGCCACATCTTCCTCCTCTTCACCTGGGTTAAACGACTCATCTACAACAAAACAAAACACAGGCCGCATCAGCTCTGCCCCGCCCCAGTGGGAATCTGCCCCTGACCTGGCCCCCTGCCTGACCCCTGGGCGAGCCCAGCCCTGCCCTGGCCGCCCGGCACCGCCAAGACTAGCCCACCAGTTTCTTCTCCCGAGTCATCGCTGCTGTCGTTGGCGTTCTCCTCCCGGATCTTGCCCTCCTCCTTCATCCGCTCTAAGTAGGCATCATGCTGATCCTCGTCGGAGTCGGCATACTCGTCATAGCTTGGGTTCATGCCCTAGCCAGGGAGGGGGGTGTGAGGGCCTGCTCGCACTGCACCAGCACCCCTGCACACTCCAAAGCACTCCCCCATGCCTGTGAAAATCAAAGCAGCAGCTCCCAGAAGACCCTGGGCTGCATTGTCCACACACAGCCAACGTGCAGGGCCTACAACCGCCAACTTCCTGCCAACGGGTTAGTCCAAGCCCCGCCCTCTCCCAGCCCCACTGGGGGCGCCTGAGGGACTACGGAGACTGCTCTAAGGTCATGCTGAGGAAACCTGCACCAGGAAGGGGGCAAGGGTCACACGCACCTCCTTTTTCTATAAGGGTAAGAAGAGAAGAGAGAGTGAAAAAGCTGCCAGAAAAAACCCTGCCCTCTTCCCCCTTCAGAAAGAACAAGAGAGGGGCTCATCCTTTCCACACACAGAGGTACCTCTTTCAGGCCTCGGTTCTTGATGTTGAGTTTTTTTGCATTGACGAAGTCAAACAGCTTCCCGTACTCTTCCCTGTGAGCGGAACGCGCGTTACGAGGCAGCAGGAAGGTGGGGTGCGCCACAGCCTGCTGACACCACAGGCAGGGACAGACTGCGGGCCTGACTCGCTTGACCCCACTGCGCAGCCCCACGGCGCCGAGACCCTAGTCTCCGAAGAGAGCCCGCAGCTCTCAGGCGCTCTGGAAGGCGGGGAGGGCTGTGCAGCCAAACACGCACAGAGCTGACGCGGCTGGTGGGGAAGGGACATTTCCCTCTTTACTGGTCTGAATTTCACCACCTCACAGGATCACAGCATGAGCGTGACGGGGTCCGTCAGACATCTAGCCCACCATGAACACATAATAAACATCAGCTGCTGTCTTCTCAGGCACAGAGTTCACTCCGAGAGAGAATGAGCGCACATCCCCGTCACGGGGCGTGCAGGGAAGCAGGTCTGGCACTGACCCAGAGCTCTCAGAAGCTGAGGACCAGGCCAAAGCGTATGCAACAGAGACGCTCCCCAAGGCCAAGTGCTCCGAGGGGCCGGACCGAGTCCCAGGGGAGTGCGGGTGGGGAGAGGGCCCAGGACGCCGCAGTGGCCGGCAGAGGCGCCCACCTCTCGATGCTGCTGAAGGTGTACTGAGTGCCCTGCTTGGTCTCGATCTCAAAGTCAAAGGAACGCGTGGTGGTGGTGCCACGGGCAAAGTTGACAAAGGAGATCTCGTCAAAGCGGATGTGCACAGGCGGCTTGTGGACATAGATGAAGCCCCGCTCCAGCGGGTACAGGAGCCCCGAGCTCGCCTTGTAGGAGCAGGTGATGCACTGGGCCCCTGAGTGCCTGGTGGAGGGACCAGAAGCCCAGTCAGTTCAACCTGAGCCCAGGCGGCGCGGACCCCGCGGCACCTGGGTCAGCAGGACACCTGCACCCAGCTGCCCAGGACAAGCCAGACCCATGTCTCAGCACAGCCAACCGCCTGCGGTTGCGCTCCCACTCCAAAGGGGCTCACCGGGAAGAAGTGGCCGGCCCTGCCCGCGCTGGCGGAGATGCCAGCCTGACCCTCACCCCTGGAAGTTGCCTGGGACTGTGATCTTGCGGTTCACCAGCGCCTTCATGACCCGGCTGACCATCTCGTAGAGCGATCCCGACATGTTCTTGGTGAGCCGCCCCTCGAAGCGCTTCTCCACCTCTTCCCTACAAAGAGGAGAGCGAGGTCACGAGCCCTGCCACCTCCTGACCGCATGCCTGCACGGTGGCAGGAAGCGTGTCCAGGGAGCACTCACTCATTCATGTTGAGAGTCAAGGCGATGTCCTCATCCTTGGAGAAGAGAAGAATCAGGAAGTGGTAGCGGGTCTGGCCCTGCTTGATGGGGGGATCCAAGCTGATCTGGTGGGAGAGAGCCCAGGTGGTTTAGCGCCAGTCACGCCACATGAGCTTACTAATTAGCTTGCTGATTAAATAGCTAAGCACCAGTGGATCCGTCTGCTAATGAGTCAAAACCCATGACAACCCACTTCCAGTGGTTTCTGCTCACCACAAAGAACATCTGGCGCTGGTCCTTGTGGGGCAGCAAAAAGAGACGCAGCACAGTGGTGTAGGGGATCTTGTAGTCGAAGGTCTTGCCGTGCAGGTGCAGAAAGGTGGGGTAGATCCGAATGTCGTACCGGCCGCGGGGCGTCAGACACTGCAGCTCCCGGAAGATGCAGATGGCGTCCCCAGTGGCCTGGATCACGTCTGCCTTAGACAGCACGTTCTGGGCAAAGGCCTGCCGGATACACGGTGGTTACTGAGTAGCAGGGAGGCCTGCTCAGCACCGTCCGTTCCCAAGGCAACCAGGGAAGGCCTCACCTCCACAGGATCCACACCATCCTCCTGGGTGGGAGGCACGTAGAAGCGCACCTCCATGAGAGACACCTCTGCATCATCATTCTGATGGAATTCCAGCGTCACCTCGTTCTTGCCAGTGGTGCACTGGGACACGTTGCTGAGGGGTATCTCAAACACTGGCTGGTCGCCAATGTCAAAGGACAGCAGCTGCCCTGTGAGATGGGGGTTAGCAAGTCACAGCACCTTGCCCCAAGTCTGCATAAACATTCCCACCACACTGGGACAGGGCCCTGGCACCACTATGTTCATGCTGAACCCCAAGCCCAGGCACAGCGCCTGAACCAATGCTGGGCCTCGCTAAATGCCTGATGAATTACAAACCGACAGGATGTCAGAAGCGGTGGCAGAAAGAAAGCAAAACCAGGCAAACCCTTCCTCCAACCTTCTCTCCCAAAACCTCAACCTCCTCCAGGACTCACCACCAAATTTCACTGTTCCCCAATTCCAGCCCTTCACACAGAGGTCCTTCTCCATTAGCTCAAGGCGATAATGAGTTTTGAAGAAATCAGAGAGTTTCTCAAACTCCTGCGGGTGAAGAGAGAGAACAATCCCAGTAAAGGCCAGCAACCTCATTCTACTTCTGAGAAACTACTTTTTTTTTTCCCCCAGAAATGCATGCCGCTTAGAATCTCAGCTGTAAAATTATTTAAAAGGCTATTGAAAGAGGTGGTCGCTGCGGGCTGGATCTCAGGCTGGGAGAAGAGTAAAGGCAGTGACCACCTGCTATGGGCCTCATGATGTTTCCTGACCTTGTGCAGACACTGCTTCAGTGAAAGTGGAAATGAAGTCTTTAACTCGAGCAGTTCAAAACACAAACACACAACTCAAACTAATGCATCTGGTGAAGACAGTGAACTGAGACACAGACATTGAGCAGCAAGTACCAAAAAACCGAAATGGTTGAAAGTCTTCTAGAAGATTCAAAATAAACAGCACATGATACAGTATACTGGGGGCCAATGGCAACAGGGCACCTCACCGATTCTCGGAAGCCGTCGTATTTGTAAACATGGCCATTCTTCGTGAGCAGTTTGAGTCCGTGGCCCAGAGCCACGCGGCGCCAGATGCCTTCCGTCAACTCTCCAGCCTGGATGTTGTCCACTTTGCCAGTCTTACTGTTCTTGAAGATGATGCCCTGGCGGCTCAACCTCAGCCGACCATCGTTCTGTGGGAAAGACAGGCCCAAATGCACAGGAATGGACTGCCAGGTACAGTTCAGCCCAGCATAAACTCTGGGCAGGCCAGGCTCTGATGCAAAGGCAACAGCTAGAAGTAGTGAGGGGTGTTAAGAGGACCGTAACAAGAGAAAAGCAGCCAAGAAGTGTGGGTGATCCTGGCCGAGTCCAGAACCTTTGCACGTTCTCAGATGCTGGGCTCTGGAGCCAGCAGCACATACTCAGACCCTGCAACTTGCTAGTTCTGCCTCAGGAGGGCCTTTTGCTGGGGGAAGGCAGGTACAGGATATATTTCACTGCTTTTCTAAAGAACATCATCACCAAAGCAAGCTCTTGCTGAGGGACAGAATGTCCCTTCCTCTCTCCCCATCGGTACCAAGAGCCCACGTCTTTCTCACCATGGAGCCTTTCACCTCCTGGTAGACATCGTTGAACTCCAGTGTTTCTGCCATGCTGACCCGCCCCTGCTGGCCTCAAATGGGAGCCGGCCGCGACTTCCTGGATGGGTCGGCAGCTACTGGCAGGCTGAGGATGGGAATTCAAGGAGGCAGATTAGCACGGAAGTGAACGCCTCACTCGGCCTAGGCGTGAAACCAGTGGCCACCCTTGATCTGGGGCTGGGATGCCTCAGGGCCTCCGCTGCCTGGGAACTTACCTCCAGGCGGGCTCTGCGAGCTCGAGGGGCCAGGCCCGGCCGTGCTGGAAAGCCGGGCCTGGAGAAGGGCTTACACCCCAACCAGACACCCGGCCGGGCGCTCTGACCGGCGCCATGGCAACCAGCAGCGGAACTCGCGGTCCTGCCCGCGCCCCGCACCTCGCCCGCATCCCTACCCGGCCCCGATCTCCCACCCAGCGCTCCCACGGCGCCGCGGCCCCAAACCCACGATCTCCCCCCTCCCGCTAAAATGGATTCGCCCGCAGCCCGCGTATTCGAACGCGGAATGGTCCATCTCTGGCGTTCGGCGGGGGAGCGGGGTCCGCGCCCTCTTGGGGCACGGGACGGCCACCACCCACCTCCTCAAGCTGCAGGCTCGCGACGGCCCGAGTGCGGGCGGTGGGCACGCTGGGGGATGCGAGGGGGGGCGGGGACACGGGGGACTGGGGGGGACGCTAGGGGAGCTTTTCCCGCGTGCGCGGCCCCGCGTCCCGCCACCGGAAGTTGTGTGGAGATCATAGAGACGCCGGGCTGCCTAGAGCGACACGAGCCCGGCCGGCCTACGAGGCGGGCGCCTAGAGCGTCGGCAGCGGTGGAGGACCGCGGGCGGCCGAGGGGCGAGGAAGTGCCACCCTCGGGGAAACTGACCCGAACCTGGGAGCGCGCGGGGCTCTCACGCTCCGGCACTCTATTTCATCAGACCGTCCGCGGAGGCGTGTGTAGATGTGGCTGAGCGAGGCGCCTCCCTCTGTCCCGCACAGCGGTGGTTTCCATGGAGCCGAAAGGAGCTGGCGGGACTGGAAGCTGCAGAGCGGTGGTCGCCGCGCCCCGCCGCCCCTGCCGCGGAGGCTGCGGCCTCTGGACTGGACGGGACCGGAAAACTTCAATCCCTCCCCTACCCGGCTGCATGGGCCGCGCGGCAGAGGCTGGCAGACAGCGGTATCGAGTTCCAGTGCTGGTGTCAGGTTCACTTTGGAGCCAGAACTGATTGGAAATCACATTAGCCTGGCACACACGCGCCAGCGCCCCCTCCTCGAGTCCTAAGGTGCCCGTCGCAGGGTCCGAGGAGGAAGCCACCCAGAAAGAGGTCTGCGGCTCCCTCCTCCGTTCTCCTTTCGCAGATGGGAAAACGGAGGCCCAAAGAGGTTTTTGCAAACTCCCCGGGTCAGGGATTTGCAACAAAGCCAGAGAGCCGAATCCAAATGTCCCCACCCGGCGGCTGTTCTCTTCTCTCAGAATCGCGGTGATGCTCCATTCAGAATGACCGTGAACGGTGGGAAGACAGTAGGACAGAATATTTAAACTCCAGGTTTCTCTGATAACCTGATTTAAAAGTTACCCCGACTTGCTGATCAATCCCGGGATTAGAGACCAGGGGGGTGCAAGGGGCTCCCTGAACTCCCACCTTGACCTCTGGGTGACCGCTGCTGCTGCTGTACTAACTAGTAACTTAAATATTAATGCATCCAATGAAATCGCACTGCGTGCCAACAGTGTAGGGTTTGAGGACACTAATGACCACGGCAGAAATAGCCCCACCCTTCCAGGGACCTGTAGTGTAACCAGTGCTCCAGATAAGAAAACTGATGTTTTGTTTGTTTGTTTGTTTAAGTCCCCAGTGTGATGTTGTTAGGCTACAGGTAGGGCTACAGCCACCGCCAGCCAGAGTAGGCAATATGAACCATGTGACCATGTTCACCCCCCTCCTCCCAGGAGACAGAAATGTCCAAGGCACCCTCTTCCCCTAGCCCACTTATTGGAAGCAACTCGGGAAGGGTGAGGGTGGCCGCAGGAAGACTCTAGGCAGGGCGTTTGGAAGACACGGGAGTGAAGGGGGTGGGGGGCTCAGCTCAGGTGGGCTTTCCGGAGGCTGGGGCATTGCAAGGGGCTTTAAGGAGAGCCTGGAGCAGCTGGTGAGCTGGGATGGAGTTACAGCATACACGAACAGAACAGAAACGGTAGGCAGTGCAGATAAAACATGAGTCCCAGGGGGCCCAGCCAGCTGCATTCCAGGCAATCAGGAGCCTGGGATTGGAGACCCCACCCCTGCCGTGACATCACAGGGGAGTGGGGTGGAGACGAACAAAAAGGGGGTCCCCCGCCCTGGTGTTGGACTCTTGGCAGCCCGGAGTGTCAAGAGCAGAGACCCTGGGCCCTGGTCTGGGCTTTCCTCACTGTAAGGGGCACACTTTCCTGTCCTGTGGCCCCCTCGCTCCCCCTCCTGGCCCCTGGACAGCTCCCTCCTGAGACCACTGTGGGTCCCTTCTGGGTGGCCCCTGAGCACTCTCAGCATGAACTGCGTGTCAGATTTCTTCACCTACGAGACCACCAAGTCAGTGGTGGTGAAGAGCTGGACCATCGGGGTGATCAACCGAGCAGTCCAGCTCCTGATCATCTCCTACTTTGTGGGGTGAGTCTGGCCCTCCGGGTCCTGGAAGGGGAGGGCTGCCCCATCCTGTCCTGTCCGCCCCCTCTCCGCGTTGATTTCTGGACTCCTGAGCTTCTCCGGTGGGGATTAGTCCCAAGGACTGTCCAGCACTGCCCCCTGCGCCCACCCCCCCAGGGGTGAGTTCTTTCCGGAAGATGGGGCAACTAAATCCTCAGAGTTGGAGAGGTTTCTAGGCTTACACCCAAGGAGTAGAGACACCTCACACACACGTATGTACAAGCATCTTCCCGTTCCCCTTGGGGAATTCATCCCAGAGGTGAGGGGAGCACAGAGACAGTCTGGGGGTGCTGGCACGGGGGAGTACTTGACCAGGTTGATGGTGGGGAGGAGAGACTAGATCCGCTTTAGATTGAGGAATCCCCCTCTGGCATGGGGAGCCGGAGGAGGCCACAGTAGAAAGAGCAGAGACCTTTGCTCTGGGAAAACAAGGCAAAGCAAGGGGTTCTCCCTCGGGGGAGGGAGGTTAACAGGCACAACTAACACTCAAAGGAAAGACTTGGAAAATAGTAGCTTTTCTAAACACGGTCCTGGGAGAATTCAGAGGCCGGGACATTGGGGGAGGCAGGTGGAGGTGAGAACCCGGAGTTGGAGGGTGGCGGCCAGTGAGCGAGGGTAAAGTTCTGTGGGTGCTTGGAGGGAGGGGTGGGTGGTCACCTACATCTGAAGGGGTTCCCCGAAAGCATGCACAGTGTTGCTAACCAATGTTACCTCCATAAAAGAAAATAAATAAAAAAGAATTCAGAAACACTCCCCCTTGCCCAAACACACGCATTTCCTACTTGGACCCCACTTTATAGCATCTAACCCATCAGGGGTGGCTTAGCAGCAAGCAGGGTCTCCAGGCCTCCTCTCAGCTCTCCCCTTGGAGCACACCCCCCCCACCACCACCACACGCGTACACACACAAAGGGCCGCGGAGCAGACAATGGCCAGGGAATCCGCCGCTCTGTCCTTGGGGTCACTCGCAGGTTCCGGGGTGGCGTGCAGGCCAGTACCTCGAGGATTTTCTTTCCTGGTGCGCGGTGCTCTTCGCGCTGGTCCTGGGACAGTGGGCGGGTGCACAGACAGCAGCACCCCAAACCGACAAAGAGAAGGGGCTTGATGTCCATGGGGGCTGCGAGGGAGCAGCGTTTCCCTAGCGGCTAGAGGAGGCACCGACCGGTGCAGGTTAAGGGGCTTTTGCTCCCCATATTGGGCGCCGACCAGTATGTCAGGTGGTGCAGACACCAGTGCCCCGTGGGGCGCTGGAGAGGGACTGGCCTGGCGTCAGATTAAATGGCCTTGACTTCCTTCCAACTCTGAGGTTTGTGCCAGGTGCGGTTTGCGAATGTTCCATGTCTACCTCTCCTGGCCAGGGCTGGCTCTTCAAGAGTCCGCGCGCCCACACGCGTGCCCGCCTGAGTGGATATGGTCGCAAGATGGTGCTGGTCCTGGTCCAGGTGTGCGCAAAAGCTGCCTCAGCGCACTCCCCGCCTGGCCTTGCTCCACTGGCTGGGGCGGTTGGAGGGGGTTGGAGACAGCCCGGCTCCCCGGACCAGCAGCAAGCTCAGCCCCCCACTGCCAGTCTCCCTCCTTGTCATCCAAAGCTCCTCTGGTCCCCGCTGGAACCGGGGGGAGTGGCTGTTTGCATCTTGATCTCCAACCCCATTCATCTCCCAGCTGACAGCTCCCAGAGGAACAGCTCTTCCCGTTACATCAGCGCCGCAGGCCCTGCCCCTGGCCCGAGCAGTCACAGGGCCCAGGGGCCCGTGCACCATTGTCATGAATGGAGCAAAAAAACACTTGGAGCGTGTCTTGGTGCCCGGCAGCCTCAGGGCTGGGCCAGCGAGCAGCGCAGCCGGCTCCTCACCCCCCACCCTGCCCCTGCCCCCAGGAGTTAGCACTGTAAGAGACGGGCTTGAATCAAATGATTTCCACAGACAAATGAAAAACTTTCAACAAGGCTCTGAGGTCAAGGAATGAGGTCAAGGTGCTAGGGAGCAGCACCTGGGGCGTAGGGGGGCTGCCAGGGCACTGCAGGCTTCCTAGAGATGTCACATCGAGCCAGGCCCCAAAGGGCCAGTCAGTGCCACTTGGAGGACAGAGAAAGGAAGGAGGAAGGGAGGAAGGCCCAGCTCTGCAGGTGGGGGAGAAAAGAGGCCTTTAAGGCAGGAACCAAGGGAGAGGTGGCACAGGGTGGCGGGAGCTCGGGGGCAGGAACAGGTGGAGGGCAGAGGGCAGGCCCCCGAGGGTTTACGGAAGAGTAGTGGACGGAAGCTATGAAGCGTTCTGAAGTGCAGGGGCACACGTGTGTGTGTGTGTGTGACCATGCATGTGACGTGCTGGCGAGGGCTACAGACATGAGGCCTGGTCAGGGAAGCTCTCTCCGCTGGCACCCCTCAGGCAGGTGCTCAGGGGCAGGGCAGTCATGGAGGAAGGGACGAGAGTGGCTTGGATTTGGCGGGACTGGAAAGGGTGCAGGCCTGTGAAGGTGCTCAAGTCTCCCGTAGGCCCCGGATGGAGCACCCACGGCCACGGAGGCTCAGACGCCACGTGGAGTGGCTGGGGCCCGACACTGTGTCTCTGAGTCTCAGTCGCCATGTCTGGAAAATGGGCTGAGGGGCTACGGTGAGGGGGGCCGTGAATGTCACTGCCTTTGCCAAGACGGTGACGTCGTGAGACCGTGACGATTACTGATCCCTAGACACCGCGGCACATGTCCCCCTCTGTCCAAGGCTCACAGCTGGGACAAGCGGGGCAGGGGCCACCATCTGACGCGCTCACTGGGACAAACCGCCGGGTGGCCCCCACGCACCCCATCTTCCTGCAGCCCTGGCCACTCCTCGGGGGGCCACCACTGCCTCCTCCCTGGCCCCTCTAGCCCCTGTACACAGAGAGGCCAGTGCTTAACTTGTGTTTCTCCGCCACCACCCCCAGGTGCTGACCCCATTCTCCTCTGTGCCATGGCACTTCCCAGGGCCAATCCCCTTTCTGGGCCCTGTGGGGGTCTGGGGGAGAAGGAGGAGACCCCAGTGGTGAGGGCGTGCCCTGAGCTGGTCCACAGGCCTTTCTGGAGAAAGCACCTCCCCCAAAACAGGAGGTGGGGGACTCCCCAGCTTGGATAGCCCAGCCATTGGAAGGACCTATGGGGGTGATGGGGCTCTGAACCCCTCACAGCTCATCTCTCCCAACTTGTTCCCCTCCCCCGCCACCCACGCACCCCTTTGTGCACAGCCCACCCCCACTTCGGCTCATAATATTTAACCTGATTTCAAATCTGATGCAGACACCTAATGCCCTCGTGTAAAGAGGGCCGGGAATGTCCCCTTGGCTCCCAGATCCATCCTCTCAGCACTGAGGCCCTAACAGATGATTATGGTAGGCAGACCTTGGCCACCCCACCTTACAGGTCTGGCGAGAGGGGCGCCTTCATTTGGGTTTCCCCTCCCCCATCACAGCCCCGGGATGGAGCATCCACGGGCCACGGAGGCTCGGATGCCACGTGGAGTGGCTGGGGCCCGACACTGTGTCTCTTGAGTCTCAGTCACCACGTCTGGAAAATGGGCTGAGGGACTCCTCTCCCGGGGGCTACGGTGAGGGGCCCGCGAATGTCACTGCCTTTGCCAAGACGGTGACGTCGTGAGACCGTGACGATTAATGTCCCCTAGACGCCTCGGCACGCGCCCCTCTCTGTCCAGCTCAGCCCCCTCCTCCTGCACACGCACCTCACACCACACCCTGGCCTCCGCTGGACTCCCAGGGGGTGAACCGGACGCAGCTCTGGCATCCTTCTGCACATCCCTCCCGCCAAAGAGCAGCCACCCGCCTTGGCTTATAAATAATAAACCAGAAACACGAAAAAAAAAAAAAATAAGTCAGAGCAGAAGAGTAAATGCCAAGAATGGCGGGCTCAGTCCTGCCCCATCTCTTCAGCCTGGTCTCCAGAGACAGACTCACCCCTCCGTTCTGGAAAGGAAGCGTACCCCCTCATTCCAGCTCCCCTCTGACATCCAAAGGTCCCAGGGGCCTCAAGATTCTTCCGCTTGTTATTTAACTCAGAGAGAGAATGCTAATGCAGCCTCTCTCCCCACTGGGCACAAGGAGCCCTGAAAGAGGAGACAGAGAAAGAGATTGACCAAGTGTTCCTCTGAGACCTACCTCCTGAGGCTTCCCTGGGCAGGGAGATGCCCTGCAGGGTGACAGGGATGTCCTGGCCAGGCCTGGCCAGGAGGGGTTCCAGGTCAGGGGCTGGTGCAGGCTGGCCCTGAGCTGGGTCACACAGGGTGACCAACCCTCTGTGCCTCAGTTTCCTCATTTGTAACTTAATGGTAAGAAAATCTTATTGTCAATGGTGGTCAGGATGCAATGAGTCCACTTCCGCCATGTAGTGCTGTGTTGGTCTGTGATAATCATCATCTGACTCAGCTGCTTTTTTGCACAGTCCTGGATGGGGACCAGGGGCAGGCAGGGACCCGGTCGGAGTCCCCCAGAAACCACCTCGCTCCATCACCACTCAGAGAAGAGTCCAGCCAGTGTCTAGGCACCCCGAGGTTCTGGAAGGGTGTGTCTGGATGTGGCTTGTACTCGGTGAGCAGAGCCTGGGCTGAGACCCAGCTCCCTCCAGGCCCAGGGCTGCGCTGTTAGGACCAGGCCTCACCACGTCCCTTTTCTGCTCAGACAGACATGAGCTCTCCAGTGAGGCACATCTCCTGGTGGGTCTTGGTGAAACCCTTCGCCTTCCCCCCAAAGGAAAGGTGCTAAGGAAACGAAGCACAACCACACCAGACTTACAGAAACCACCGTCACCAGCCTGTTTGATTGGCAGGCGAGTGTCTCTTGGCTCTGCACCCCAGCACTGCTCTATGACCCCAAAGTAAAGCAGAGACACATTGGCAGCCACCTGCTGGCACTGGACATGACCCCACCCTCTCTCCCACTGAGCAGTGTTCAGAATAGGGCACCTGGCCCCTCCCTATTGGCCAGCGGGTTATAGCACAGCACTGTGAAGCTCTCCACAGCACGAGTTCCATCCCCAGCCAGGAAGGTGACCCACAGGGTGCAGCAGACCTCTCCTGTCTCCCCTCTGCTCCCCTCAGCAGTGTATTTCAGTATATCTGGCCCTTCCGTTCCCCACTCTGTCTCCAGTAAATCCTCTCACCCCCACACCTCTGGTCTACACCTTGTTCTTGTATGCATAATAAATAAATCTTTAAAATAAACTAGAGTACCTGAAGCGCCCCCCCCCCCGACCCCTGTCAGGAGGGAGCTCTGAACCCTCCAGTAAAACCCAGCCAGGATCATCTTGCAAATATAGTCCTTGTGCACAAGCAGGATGTGGGAGCAACCACCCCACAGGTCAGGTCGTAGCCCCACGTGACTCAGGGCTGCTCCCTTCTGGTCCTCCAACCTGGGGAGACCTAGTCTGCTCTCCACACCCTGGAAGGTGGGTGTGGGGCCTCCGCTTGCACCGCCCTGGTGTGGCCCGACCCCAGCCACCACAGCAGCTGTCCCTGGATGACTGACTCCCCAGGGCGTGGGCACGCCTGTATCTGAAATCCTAACCCCTCCGTAGAACCCCTCAGCTCAGCCTCGCCTGCTCCCAGCCAGGACCTCCTGCTCTCAACAATGTCTTCTCTGCACCACACATTCTAGGCCCTTCCCCTCGCCTTCCTCTGATGGGATTCTCCCCACTTTTAGCCTGCAGGACACGATCCCAGCCCAGGTAGCTTGCAGGACAGAACCCCAACCCAGCACTTCAAGATGCCACAAGATTTCTTAAAAGCAGAAAGCATGCCCTACTTTCCAAACATATTCATGAGGGTTTCTCATCTGTCCGAGGGGGACAGTGACAGCCTCTGCCTCCTGGTGCATGGTCAGGATTACCCAGAACTGCGCCTCCGTCTCGGGCTGGACACGTGGCTTTGGGCAGAGAGGCTTGCGTCTTGAGGACTATGCAGGGTGATTTCAGAGGAAACGGTGGGCAGCCCACTGAAAAGCAGAGGAAGAGCTGTTGGCAGTATCTGTGGCCCCTTCCTAGGGCTTGGGAAGGCTGGGTGACGCTAGGGGGAAGTGGGGATGGAGGATGGCAAGGGGGTCCCTCCCTGGTCTGCAGGCTTGAAGCTCCCAGGAGAGGACAGTCAGGTAAATGACCACTGGGTGGCAGCACAACCCCAGGAATAAGACCAGAGCCCCAGCAGGGGCTCGGAGCTCCCTGGACCTGGGAGGCAGTGGTCAGTGCTGCCCGGCCCTCCGTCCTCCATCAAATGCAGACCGGCAAGTGTGGCCTTCACTGCCTAGTTTACTGAGCACCTACTATGTGCCTGGCACTTGGGGTCCAGCCATGCTGCATGGCCAGATGATGCAGGGTCAGAGCCCTGGGCCCAGGCCCTGCCCTCTCGGGACACCTGTGCATGGAGATGTGTCTTGAAGGGGGGGGGGTATCCCCCTCAAGAGGAGGTGCAAGTTTCAAAAATTTCACTTTTACACCTATAGAAAGGCATAAATGTGGGCCCTCCCTGGTGGCACAAAGGGTTGGGATGCAGCACTGCAAGCTGGCCGCAGCCACCTCAGTGCAAGTTCGATCCCTCGCTCCGGAGGCCTGGCAGACCTCTCCTGACCCGCCCGCTGCTCCCCTCAACAGTGTACTTCATCCATCTGCCTGTTCTGCTCCCCACTCTGTCTCTGGTGAAGCCTCTCACAGTCTCTGCACCTCTGGCCTGTACCCCAGTTCTGTATGCATAAATAAATCTTAAAAAAAAAAGCACAAATGGCACACAGTACATAAGCAGATATCTATAGCAGATATCTATAATAGTAGCCTTTCGTGAGGAGGAGAGCAATGGTGGCGAGGAATTTTCTCCTTAAGGAGCACTGCCAGGAACCCCCGGCGACCTGCGGCGGCAGGGAGGGGCCTCCCCGGCCTCTATCTAACGGGCCCTGCTTGAGCCTTGCTCTCCACACCTGCCGCCCTGCCCAGGTGGGTTTTCTTGCACGAGAAGGCATACCAGGTGCGGGACACAGCCATCGAGTCCTCGGTGGTGACCAAGGTCAAGGGCTTTGGACGTTATGCCAACCGAGTCATGGACGTGTCGGATTATGTGACCCCACCCCAAGTAAGGCCCTGCCCTGGTGGTGTGCGCATGCCCAGAGGCGGGCGGAGGGGGCTGGGCAGTGCATGGGGGGCTGAGGACCCGCACACCCCCAGCACAACATCTTGAAAGCGGCTATCGCTGGCTGCCCCACGGCAGGCCCAGGGGGTGGTAGGAAGGGCCTGGTTTGAACCCCCCTGTGCCCGTGCCCAGTCCGCGCCTGGCGCCAGTGCCCGCCTCTGTGGCCTCTCCCTGCCTTCTTCCTCCCAAGGGCACATCTGTCTTTGTCATCATCACCAAGATGATCGTTACTGAAAACCAGATGCAAGGATTCTGCCCCGAGGTGAGCCAGGGGAAGGGTGGGCGGGAGGAGAGAGAGACAGGGGGCGGGTGGGGGAAGATCAAGGAGGAAATGTTGGGGAGCAGCCTTGCGGCCACCACCAGAGGGCGCCAGTCGAGGGGCGGCAGCGGCAGCGGGAGCGGGGCTCCCGGGGCCAGCACCCACCTGCCTGTCCCCCCGCAGAGCGAGGAGAAGTACCGCTGTGTATCAGACAGCCAGTGCGGGCCCGAGCGCTTCGCGGGTGGGGGTGAGTGCAGCCTCTTCCCCACGCTACCCCCTACTAACCCCCACAGTGGGACCCTGGAGGCCTGAACCCCCTGGGAAGGGCTGCTCCGAGGCAGCTCCGGGAATCCTGCGGGGTTTATAGGGGGGCTTGTGTGCCCGACCCAGCAGGGCTTCGGGCCAGGAGGTCCCAGTCTACAGAGGGTGGGGTGACGGCCGTGAGGCACTGTGGGAGCCTCGGTGAGTCAGGGTCCTGGGTGGGCTCCGAGAGCGGCGCCTCTGTGCTGGGCCCGCGGGGCGGGCAGGACGGCGGGTGGGGAGGGCGCGGAATGGGGTGCGCGCCACTCAGGGGAGCCAAGGGCTGGATGGGAGCCGCCTAAGTGCCCCCAGGGGGCGGCCTCGCCGTAGGCACCAGGAAGCCAAGTTAGCCTCAAAGGTAGACAAAGATGAGTCATGGGAGGAGAAGCGTGGATGGACTGACCGAGTAAAATCAAATAAACTAGTGGACACGGATAACAGGCTACAATAGAGGTGAAGGGGGTGGGGATGGGACAACGGGGATGGGCTGCATTCAGTGAGTCTTCTGTTTTGAGCTTTGTTTTCCAGAATAAGAATGGGTGCAGTAGGTAGAGGAACAGCTGGGGCTGGGAACGGGAACAGGGCGTTGGTGGGTGCACCCTTGAGATGGGGAGTCGCCTCCCTTTGGTCTGGTCCAGGGCTTGGGAGGGGAGGAACGAGACTCTCCACAGGGTGGACCTCCCTGGCCTCCTGGCCTCACCCTCACCTCTGGGATGGGGGTCCCTGACGAGGTGGAGAGGGGAGGGCCAGGGGTGCCCGGGCACCCAGCAGTGTGGCCCTGCCTCCAGGCATCCTCACCGGGCGCTGCGTGAACTACAGCTCTGAGCTCCGGACCTGCGAGATCCAGGGCTGGTGCCCTGCTGAGGTGGACACTGTGCAGACGTAAGGCCGGTGGGGAGCAGCTGCACCCTTCCATGTGGGGAGCCTGCAGGGGAGGGGTCTCCTGGGCACCCCCCAGCATTGCCCAGTGCTGGGGCAGCGAGGTGGCCTCAGGATTTCAGCTCCCCTGGGGGCCTCCCCGCCTCCCCGCCTCCCGCTGCTCTGGGATCCGTGGGGCTGCATGCTAGGCAGCAAAGGGGGCCCCTTCCCAACAGCCCCCTTGTAAGCCAAGGCCTCCTGCGCCTGCCCACAGGCCGGTCATGATGGAAGCCGAGAACTTCACCATCTTCATCAAGAACAGCATCAGGTTCCCCCTCTTCAACTTTGAGAAGTGAGTCCTGGCTCGCCCCCTGAAGCCAACAAGCAGCCCCCACCCCCAACCAGGTTTCCAGGGGAGCAGAGATGCCCTGTTCCGTGGTCTTTCTCCCCCTCTCAGTCTCCTGGCGGCTAGACCACCAGGGATGAGGGGGTCTCTGGGGCCAAGTCTCCATCAGCCTCCCCCACTTGGGCCGTGGGGCAAGCAAACCCTGGGCCTGGCCCTCTCTGAAGCTCAGGGCTTTTTCTCCTCCCGACCAAGCCCCGGTGTGGCGGACCCCTCCCCTGGTCAGGGCAGCCCTCCGCTCAGCCCCCTTCACTTCCCTGGGCACCTGCCACCTGCAATGCAGACAACTCATAGGGAGTCGCCCTTTAGGTGGAGGTGGGGAGATGGGTCCCAGAGATCAGGTCTTAGCTCTCCTGGCCTGGCTGTGCATGGCCTGGGGCTTCAGGAGTCCAGACAAAGTGTGAGCATGGCTCGCTCTCCACAGTGACCTGGCCTTGCCTCTGTTCTCCCCAGGGGCAACCTCCTTCCCAACCTGACGGCCCAGGACATGAAGACCTGCCGCTTCCACCCTGACCGGGCCCCCTTCTGCCCTATCCTGCGGGTGGGGGATGTGGTCAAGTTCGCAGGACAGGACTTTGGCAAGCTGGCCAGCACGGTGAGAACTGGCCACTCCCCCAGTACCGCAACCCTTCCCAACAGCCAGCGAGCGCCCTAGGGCGCCGGTGGGACCCGGGTGGTGGAGCAGCGGCAGCGAGGCAGCGCCACCTGGTGGAAGATCCCAGAGCTGCGCTGGCCGTGTACCCCAGGATCCTTGCTGCCTTCTCCCCCTCCCACCCAGGCCTCAGCCCCTCCACGCTGGTAGAGGCCTACCCGCCCTGAGAACACTCAGGTTCTGTGATTCTGGAATGGTCCCTGGTTCGCCCACTTTCTCCTGCAGGTAGCTAAGGGACCCAGGGTGCCAGAAGCCAGGTTTAGCAAGTGCCCGCACTCACCCCTGCTGCACCACTTTACTACTACCTGGCTGTGACAAGTCAGTCTTCTTTCTCCCTTAACCCCTCCTCCACTGAGCAAGGGGAAAAGACCACCGTCTGTGGTCAGACCCCGCCTCCTCCCTGGGATGGTGCCAGGCACTGGCAGCGTGAGCTCACCTCGACCCTTTGCTGCGCAGGGTGGCGTCCTGGGCATCAAGATCGGCTGGGTGTGCGACCTGGACAAGGCCTGGGACCAGTGCATCCCCAAGTACTCCTTCACCCGGCTGGACGGCGTGTCCGCTAAGAGCAGTGTCTCCCCAGGCTACAACTTCAGGTACCGGCTGCTGGGGTGGGGTGGGGGGGTGAGGCCAAGGCTGCTGAATGGGGCTGAATCATAGCAGCGTACTGTTGGAAAGAAAAGGTCAAGTGTCCCCTGTCCCGAGCTGGCTCAAAATCAGGAAGGACTTTCCACCAGCCAGCCCAGGAGACAGACAGGCTCTGTTGTGAAGCCGGTGGGGGTTGGGGGTGCTGGGGCCCCGGTCCTGGCTAGTCAGCAGGGCGCCTGCTGTGCTGGGTGCCTCCATCCCTGGCAGTTCTGTGGCTCTGGCTCTGAAGCTGAACTTCCCTCAGGAGCTTCTTCTCCTGCAACCATAGTTTTAGAGGTTTTTCAGTCTGCAAAGCAAGGGCAAGAGCTGGTCCCCTTTACAGAGAGTGGGTGCTTTCTCCCATAACCAGGCAAGTTCCTCTGAGTCTCAAATGGCAGTTCTGTGGTCATTAGCTCTTTGGTGCCTTTCCAGACAGAATCTAGTGAACTGTCTGGTTTCTATTCCTAGTGGCCTTGAGACATAAGAAGTCTGTCCCGCCCACCCCCCATTTTGGAGAAAAGGAAGGGTTGACTGGGAACTACTGAGAAGTCCTCAACAAGCCCTTCTCCTCTCACCGCATTTCCCCCACCTATGAATGGGCCATGGTGAAGATACTTCTAGAGTGTGTGAAAAGCTTCAGCATTCTGGTTTCCCTTTCCTTAATTTTTGAAGACTCTGAATGTCTGCTGGGCCCAGATTAAATACAGTGTTAGACAAGACGCCAGATAGGTTCCAGGGCTTACCTGACTGAAGAGGCAGGGATGAAGAGGAGGGGAGGTCTCATGAGAACATGTTTTAGATGTACGGTCCTGTTCCCCGTGCTGGTGGGATCTGTTCCAACACCCCGGCGCACGTAAGCAAAAGAAAAAAAAGAAAGAAAAATTCACCCTGATTTGTAGTTTTACAAAGTAATTATCCACCCCATTAAACTTCATATTTAATCGTTTAAAATATATATGTATATGCTCTAGAAGGAATTTTTTAAAAATTGAAAGTGCTTTCATAATCAACTCCAAACTTTAAAAAATCAGAGGAAACAACACATATTTTAAAGTAGGTTAAAAATACTGTTTGGCTCACTGGCAGAAATTGGCATATTTATTCAGTCAGTACATCACACTGCAATCAATACAAAGGATATTTGTATGGCAGCTTAAAATAGTAACACATTAATAAAATCCTCATGATCTAAAATGTAAGTTTTCATCTTCATAACTTCCCTCTGGCCACTGGGAATTCTTTAATCCTCCGAATAACGTATTTGGCAGGAAAGCTCAGAAAGGAATCAGCTGTTATGAAGACCCCGACTACTGGTGTCAGACAGTTTTAGAACAAGATCTTTCATTTAAAGAATTGGCTTGCAGGTCTTTGTTCCCTCCCAGAGCCCTCCCCGGCATGCGCCTCCCCGCCTGGACACAGCGGGACTAGAGACAGCCCCGGTTTAATAACCCTGGAGAGACAGGATGAGACTCTCTGATGGGCCTTAGCACAATTCCCAGGGGCCTCGGGAAGCCACTGGCATGGTGTGGACCCCGCAGCAGACACCCCTCAGCCAGAGTCTGTAGGGGCACAGCTGTCACTCGGACTCGGACCCATTGGGTTGAAGAGAATTTAGACAGAGAGGAGTAACCCCCAGCTCTGACTGGGGAAGGATATCTGACAACCACAGTGGGCAGAGAGCTCTGCTACGCTCACCCCCACCCCCAGGCTAGGCTCACCCCTCAGGCCATGCTCATCCCCCCAGACCATGCTCATCCCCCCAGGCCATGCTCATCCCCCCCAGGCTCAACAAGGGCCCAGAGAGCCACATCTCTGAATCCCAGGGCCACCTCTCTGAATCCCGGAGAAGAGATAACTGGTCCTAGGTGGGGAGTTTCCTCTGCTGGGTGAAATACATGCTGCCCTTTGAGCCCTGCAGGGCAGTACCAGGGACAAGGTGTTTCCGCGTGCTCTGGCCAACCCCACCCTGCCAGGCAGGAGCAGCCATCCCTCCCTCTCACCCTGAGAAAAGCAGGCTGGAAGAGCAGAGTCGGCTCCCCAGGACCCGAGGGCCAGTCAGAGGGGAACCAGAAGCAACCTATTCTTGCCTCCCGGTCTCCACCCGGAGCTAGAGGGCTAGGACTTTCCACCCGGGTTAATCCCCAGGAAGCCTGCAGAGGGATTGACACTGTCATCCCTGCTTCAAAGGAGACTCTGAGGCCAGGGGGCTGGGGAGGGGGGGGCGCCTTTCCTAGCCTTTTGTCTCCCAAACTAATTCATTTGCGTCTCCATCTCTGCTCCAACGGAGGCCAGATTTCCCCGTCCTCCTGCTGCTGTTTGCTCTGGAGGGAATGGTGTCTTTCAGCCAAGAGGCAGCCTGGTTTTTGTCTGCAAGCACAGACGTCCAGGAGCAGCTAGAGATCTGCATTCCCACCACTAATTACCTCTGCAGCCTACTCCAAATGCGCCCGGCCCCACACAGCACCGCCCCCCCCCATCCGCGCAGGGGGGGACCCTCGCAGCCCTCCCCCCACTGCAGCCGCCCCCTTCCAGATGAGGAAGGAGCACGTGACTGGCCGAAGTCACGGGCATTACATAGGGTGGCCTTACAGGTCGTCTGCTAACACCAGTCTCCCCCAGACACAGCCCCACCACTACCACCAGCGGCCGCTTCACAGAGGGGCCTGAGTGGGCCCAGTTCCAGCTCTCGGAAGGGTAGCCTCACAATGAGCCAGGGTGTCCCCTAAACGGCCCCCTCAGCCCCACCCAGAGGTGGTGCCGTCTGGCTGAATCTTTATGTGCATGTCGCTCTTGTCCTCTCTGATAGGCCGTAGACTCCATGCTCACTCTGAGGCCCATTCTGTGTGGCTGAAGACGGCAGGGCCGCTTTAGCTCAGGATCTTTAGGAGGCCTCTTGCCAAGCGGCTGGGCGCCTGGTGGGTCCCAACGGGCTGGCTGCGGCCACTGGGTCACATTTCTAAGAATAAGAACTGGTAGGGTTGTTCCTTCCGGGGCGCGGGGTGACAGGTACCGTGGGGACAGGTGCTTAGACCAGGGTCAGCTCCTGCTTCCCTCTTGGGTCCTCTGCCCCGGCGCGGCTGTGAGTATGTAAGTGAGCGTGTAAGTGTGGGCCTGTGTGAAGGAGCCGTGTGAAGGCCGTGCGTGCATCCACGCTGAGCAGGTTGTGTGTGCTGTGTGAGTTGTGGGGAGCGCGTGTGAGTGCAGGCAGAGATAGCACAGGAACATTCAAAATGCTCTACCAGCCAAGGGCCCAGCAGGAAACGCATGGCGTGTGCCAGTGGGTGATTTGAGGCGAGTTTCATAAAAGATTTCAAAGGTGAAGGCCGGGTGGGGGGAGCCCATAGCGAGAGGCCAGCAGTCGGGACAGTAACCCAGTAACCTGACTTGGGAGGGGCTCAGGTGTACAGTGAGGCAGGCTACAGTTACTAGAATATGGCGGCAGGGGGCGCTGTGGGGCGGGCAGCCTCGGGGTGCTGTGACCCTAAGGGCTCCTCCAGAAGCTGAAAGCTAAGAGATCAGCTGAGGTAGCACAGGGGGAGGAGCAGGGGTCACAGATGACCCATGCAAGTCCTTCATTATCTTGTGGAGGTCTCTGCCCTTGTATATCCCTGGTAAAGACACGCATGCACCATTGTCCAAGAACAACGCATTTGCCCTAGATGTGAGTGATCTTGGAGACCGCTTTTTCTTTTTTAAGGATACTTTATTTCTGCAAAGAAGACAGAAACCTACCCCCAAAATAACACTCCTAAGCACTGGCAACACAGAGCAAGACAGGAAACTCCCCTCCACTCCTCCCAGCCCGTAGGGAGTCACATCCTGGAGTTGGGTGGTTTTTCCTTCCAGTCCTTTTTCTCTGCTCTTACTTTTAGACAGCGACAATTCCTGGCTTCTGAAGATTTTAAAAGTCCATCCCTGGACTCCTAGAGTTAAGTCTGCAAAGCCCTTTCACACCTAGGATTCACAGCCCGCTGCCCACACCCTCGGCTCAGATTTTGAGTCTTGCCTGAGATTCCGCAGCTTTAATGAAGAGGCTGCTCTTGGGGACACAAACCCAGAGCCCTGATTCATAGTCAGCGCCGCTACCACCCCCCCCAAACACGCCCGGCACTCACACAGAGGCTCAGACAGAGAAAGACACAGACACACGCAGAGAGACAGACACAGACACCCACAAAAAGAACTGGGAGAGCTGTGGAGCACTTTCTACGTGGCAGGTGTCCATGGGGCAAGGCCTGGCTGCTCCCTGATACCCCACGAGCTCCCCAGACAGCCCCGCTCCTGAGCGGCAACGCCGGCTTGGTTTTGGATTTCCTCTCCTGTGTCTGGGACAAAAAACTCTCGTTCAGCTGCTCCATGTTCCTCGTGCGGTAGGTGTTTCTAGTGACGGCTTCGAGTTGGAAGCGTCCCTGCAGTAGCTTCTGCTCTGAAATTGGCTGCCGCCCTGCTTGCACGCTGAAATGAGCGGATCAGCGAGATCGTAGGCCAGCTGACAGGAGTCGGAGCGCCCTGGGCTTGGATCGCTCTCCCCACAATCTGGGTTGCTCTCCTTCCAGAAGTACAGACGATGTGTGAAAAGCAGCCATTTCCACCGTCTACATGATCCCGTCTCCTTGCAGTCCTTTCTCTCCTTTCTCTCGTCGTCTCCTTGCAGTCCTTTCTTTCCTTTCTCTCGTCGGATCTCGCAGGGGGGTGGGGGGGGGAGCGTGGCAGTGAGCCCCGTCCTGAATTTACACCCCCTCTGTGGTCACCTCCGTCCTGTTCTGACACCAGGGGTGTCCACTCTGAAGGGACTTGCCTGGGGCTTAGCAAGCACTCTGGGGGTCATTCACCCGCTGAGAAGACAGGGCATGTCACAGCTGGAGACCTGAGGCCCCTGGGATACAGGCCCCCGTGCAGGGGCTGGGACCCAGTCTGAGGCAGCTGAGTCCAGAGCCCGCCCGAACTGGACCTCAAAGGTCCAGAGGGG